AAAAAAAGGGCCCTTTTTTTGAAAATGGATCATTTTTTGTCAAAAAAATTCCATGAGGAATTGCTTGTGGAAGCGTATAGAGTGCTGCTGGGGGCTGGGGGGCAAAAAACAGCCCATTTTTGCTAATTTCTGCCCTCCCCAGCCCCCAGGAGCTCTCTGAAAGCCTCCATTATGGTATGCACAGCCATTTTGGTGAAGGGGCGGGGCTTCGGGAGGCAAAAATACTATATTCGGTGTATAAGACGCACCCAGATTTTCAGCCTCTTCGGTGCCTCTGCCAGTGAAAACGGAACTTGGGAGGGCCACCATCGGAGTAAAAAACAGAGCTCACAAGGGCCGCAGACGGCCCTCCTGAGCTCCATTTTTGCTGGCAGAGGGTTGCAGGAGGGCATTGCAGCCGAAAACGGAGCTTGGGAGCCCATTTTTGCTGGCAGAGCGCTCGGGCCACCACAGGGGCCAACATGAATGACATAAAGCTGCCATGCCCACACCCACCCTGGCCATGCCCCCCCAGCCCCCCCCCCGCGAGATCAAACACAACCCTAAGGCAGCCCTCAATAAGATAGAATTTGACACCCCTGCTCTAGAAGAACAATCTATCTGCCATCAACTTTAACTTAAATTTCTATAGTGAGTAGGAGTTTGAACTCAATGGCTTGAATGAGACCTTTTTATTCTAAAGTTGCATGAGAGAGACATATAGCATTGCTAGTGCTGAGGATGATGAAAGGTTATACAATGGGAAGTGAAAATAGAAACAAAGCTCCCAGACACTTTTTTTTCAAAATACTAATCATAATTAAAACAAAAGTAAAATAAATCTACTTACTCTGTATCTAATCTCTTTGGACTAGCAATAGCCTTTGCACTGCTGCTGAGTTCATTGAGGACTACCAAGGGATAGATTATATTTTTCTCCACAAAAAGAAGCCATATATGAGCTTTCTCAAACCACATAACATGTGCGGCATCTAAGAAGTCAAAGAGCACATTCTGAAATCAAGTATTTCTGGAGCATGCATATAATATCAAACTCAACTCTAATACCTCTAACAGAGCATCCCTAAGATAGCTGAACTGTCTTTCTTTATAGAGGAATAAGGTTTCTATGGCAAAAAGAAAAAACTAGCATGTAGCAATAGAACTTAGACTTAGACTTTACAATGCTTTACAGAGTCAGCATATTTCCCCCAGCAATTTGGGTCCTCATTTTATCGACCTTGGAAGAATGGAAGGCTGAGTCAACCTTGAGCCTGGTGAGATTTGAACTGCCAAATTGCAGGCAACCTGCAGTCAGAAATATCTTACAGTACTGCACTCTAACCACTGTGCCACTACGGCTAGTGAGACTTCGCCGAAACGTTGCCAAGACAATCTCAATCTTACATGGGAAAAGACCCGAATACAACAAGACATGCATATATATATGCTGGTCTTGTTGTATTCGGGTCTTTTCCCGTGTAAGATTGAGATTGTCTTGGCAACATATATATGTATTGTGTCATACCCATATTTGGGTATGCCCAAATATGGAAGGGATCATACTGCTTCCCTTTTTCTGTCTTTGTGTTGGCAACATATATATGTATTGTGTCACAACCCCTGGTATGCCCAAATATGGGAGAGAGCATACTGATTCCCTTTTTCTGTCTTTTGGATCAGCCTAGGAGCCATCCAGGCAGAAAGCCATTTTTTTAATGTTGCCTTTTATGTTGCCTTTTTTATGTTGCCTTTTTTATGTTGCCTTTTTATGTTGCCTTTGTTTATTTATCAGCATAAATGCAACACACACACAATATATATATATATATTTAGTGATAATGCAACCAATATTTAGTTAATCTATTGCAAATTGTGCTACTTACTGCGGACTTCAAATTGATAGTATTCCTTGGTTTTCAGCAATGGATGAGAAAAACAGTGCCATGGGAGCTGTTTTCGGAGCTGAGGCAGCACATAATGGGTCATAAATCCTATTAATCCCACCAATGCATACAAAACGTAACTTAAAACAGGCTAAAAGAAAATTTTAAGAAAAAAAAATCTCAAAATCAGGTAAATATAATAACCATCCCTTTCAGAATTGTGTTACCTTATTTACTTTATTTCATTGTAAATAGCAGCTCTGATTAAAAAGCTATCTTCTCCTCTGATTAATCTTATCAACAAACACTGTATGTCACAACATATCAGAAACACATGATGTAGTCCCCTATTGGATCCTAGTTGCTTCCCTTGATTAAATGTATATCAGTTTACGGGAATATGGTACCAACTGAAGAAAAATGGCAGTAGAATTCTGTATTTTCCCTTTAAATGCTTTACTTTAAATGCAGAATATTATACTGCATGTTATCATTAGAATTAAATTCTGTTTTTTTTTTGTCCAGGATTGGAACACTCCTTCTGTATTTTCTCACCTATCTTTTGAGAAAAATATTGGTGTCCTAAAATGAGCTTCTCTGGATGAATATGATTAAAATCTAGACTCTTCTCCAACTCCTTAACCACTGAATTTGCTGGAAGTTTATCATTTAGTGCCCCCCCCCAACCGATAATATTTGCATTTTATTGCATGTGTATCAGACAAAACAAAAACAAACAAAAATGAGATTCTGGTCTGTTCAGACAGCATAGCTTCAGTACATCATGGTTTTTAGCATTCCAAGTTTCCATATTTACTCATATACCAGAAACATAAGTCTGCTCTGGGAAAAATTGCACAAGCAGAACATGCAGAAATGAGAGAATTTTCTAACCCTAGGCTACCTCATATTCTTCCCATCTTACTTAAATTTCTTAAGATAGTAATAAGGACTAGCTGGAATAAACCCGGTAGCACTTAAAGCAAGAAAAAAACACATGAGGCATACATAGTGTCAATGTGATATGGCTGAACCTAGAAACAAGTTTTCTATGTGGTTAAGCAATCCAAAAATATCCAAGAAAGATTTATAAAAGAAATGTGTGTCATGATTTTTTTAGTGGACAGCAGAAATAAATCTTACCTGCAATACTGTGAAACCTGTGCTGACATGGATTGCAAAATAAAGTACACCAATTACTAGACAAACAACAAGATCAGACTGCAAACGTTCATTCTACAAAGAAAAAAAAGACAATGCATCTGCATGTCAAGAAGGTTCTATAAAATTTCCACATTTTTATTACTCACATGGTTATTTTGAAGACAGTTTTAGAATATAGTGTTGCAATTAATATTTATAGAGTCTCAAAACCTACTCCCCACCCACAGTTTGTATTGACATATTTGTGGAATTTTAGTTTAGGTATCAGATGATTTGCCAAGCTATACAGAGATAATTTTTTTAATTGTTGTTAGAACAGAGTATCATAAATCTTAGCATAGTCTGAGCAAATCATTTCAACATCTGAATTGTATGTGTGTGTGTGTGTGTGTATCTTGAGCACAGAGTATTATCATAGCAATAATAATAATAACAACAACAACAACAGTTCCTAGGTCCTTGGTTAAGACTCGAACTGTTGAGCTACCAACCAGCCCCAAAGGCTGTGAATCTCACCAAAGATTAACATAATAATAATAATAATAATAATAATAATAATAATAATAATAATAAAGAAGCTGATGAAACTGTTGATCACATAAAAGAAGCTGATG